GTTGATTTAACGTCCCTGGATTTTTTTTAGACAGGAAAATCACTTTTGCTTTCTTCCTGATGTAATGTTCAGACGTGACATAACAGGAGGTTGTCTAACCTTTTCAGGATATAATATAGATCCTGTGTAGACTGCAACTGAGTTGGTTTATATAAGATACACCTGTGCACAAACCCAGGTCAAGATAATTATTAAAAACATATGTATAAAACCCCATAAAATATAAAAAAGTGGACATAAAAACATTTTTACCTGGACCTGAATTTGTTTGAATTACATTATGTACACACCAAAAATAAGCTTCTTGTTGATTTTTTCAAATCCATCTTCAATGTAGATGTCTTTAAAATGTTCATAAGTTGGCATAAGTTGTCTAGTGTGACAGGGCCTTCAATGATTAGATCTGGACCTGTTTTTTTTCCCTATAGAGTGCTTTATCAAGTCCCTCCAGACCCCAAAGTGCTTTACACTTAGAGACATTCACCCATTCACACACTGATGATGGTAAGCTACACTGTAGCCACAGCTGCGCTGGGGCACACTGACAGAGGCAGGGTCGCAATGCACCAGCACCACCGGACCCTCTGACCACCATCACTTGTGCCACTAGCTCTCCTGTAGAAACCAGAACTTTTATTTATTTTGTATGTTTTAAATTTAACCTTTATTTGACCAGAAAAGTCCCACTGATATTAAACCTCTTTTTCMTGGGAGTTCTGGCCAAGAGGCAGCAAAACACTTGCAATTGGTTACACAATGAAAATGCTATACAAATATTATTAAAAACAGTCACATTTTAAGGAAGTCCTCTCCAGTGCTCTCATTCTGCACTTAAAAGTTCTCAATGAAATAAGTTCAACTGAGTACAAAAGTCTTTTTCCCCAGTTGTGAGGGGGAAAATGGAACAGAAAGCAAGAAATGGTCATTTGAACACAAAAAGTAGGAAACCGTGTGTCTCAGTTCACAGATGTAGAAGAACAACAGCCTAATGATGGCCTTATAAATAAGTGTTCCAAAGGCCCAACCTGCTGGACACAGAATGCCTTGCTGACTTCTGGTTGTGGCAGCCACATCAGAAGACATAGTTGTTAATGCTCTGTTGTTCTTTCCAAACTTTCTGCTAAAACCCTTCTCTTCACAAACATTTCTAGCATTAATGTGCTCTGGCGAACAGAATAATGCCTAGAGCAGCTAAATTTGGCCAATATTTTGGTAAAAATCAAAACAGCCCTTCTTTGTGGTGAAGTGCAGAGTCTGCTTCAATGGTGGTACCAGGTGGAGAGGAGGATGTGAGGATGTGTGTTTTGTGCTCTGTCTCCCTCTTGTGTTCTGTGTTATTATTATCCTTTCCTCAGTCAGCTCTTAAAGAGGCAAATCATGTAAAATCAACTTTTTTGAGTTTTATATCATGTTATAATGTTATACTCTCATAAAAAACATGTCCAAAGCCTTGCTCTGACTCATTCAT